TGCAGCGAGTCAATATTGCTGTGAAGCAGGCTGGGAGTAGTGTGCAGTGAGTCAATATTGCTGTGAAGCAGGCTGAACAAAAGAAAGGGGGAAGCCTGTGTTTCTGAAACAGTACAGGAGAGTGCAGGGTCGGTAGCTTTATAAAGACTGCATTAGAGTGGGCACAGCAGATTCATAAAGAGCAGCAAAGAGAACAGAATCAATAGCTTCTCAAACTACATGAGACAGCAGGTCAGCGACTTCATAAAGAGAAGAGCAGACCTGCATAAGAAGGGCAGTGATGGCAAGAGATAAAAAGCTGGTGACTGAGCTGCAAACACTGACACGTCAGTGAGAGGGAGATTCCCGGACATGGTGCTTCAGGAGCTGATTAATTACATCACATTTGGTCCATGGTGAGGGGTAGGAGATTGTGACTATGAGTGAGAGAGGTATGGGAATGCAGAATTTAGCTTTGGAGAAGCCTCAACCACTGCCCTTGTCTAATAAATATGAAGTTCTTGCTCCAGGTTTGGACAAAGGCAGGGAGGACGAGTGAGCAGACCATACAGGGAGAAGAGAGAAATGTAATAGTATTAGGAGGTAGCATAATTAGGGGAATAGACCTTATAATCTGCAACAAATGCAGAGAGTCCTGGAGGCTATATTGCTCACCTGGTGCCAAAGTTTCTGGGTTAGAGAGCAACTTGGAGGAGGAGAGGAAGAATCCAATTGTTGTGGTCCACATAGGTAGGACACAGATAAGACTAGGAATGAGGTTCTCTTGAGGGATTACCAGCAGCTCGAGCCTAAATTGAGAAGCAGAACCATCATATGAATAAACTCTGGATTACTATCTGAACCATGTACAAATTGGCATAAAATGAATAAGATTAAAAAAGTAAATGCACATGGGAAAAATGGGTTCCAGTTCATGGGACTCTGCACTAGTATTGGAAAAAGGAGGGCATTATTTAAATCATACTAGGATCAGTGCTCTGGCAAATTGTATAAATGGGGTTGTAGATAGGGCTTTAAATGAATTAGTGGAGAAATGGTTTAATTGAAGACAAGATTAAAAAAAAAAACAAAAAAATTGAAAGACCAGGAGTGTAAGGTTGTGAAGAGGTGAACAGTAATCAAAGTGTGACTGAAAGGATGGAAAATGTACAAAGAAGAGGAGTGCAATAGAAATTAGAACCAAAGAGGGTAACAAAACAAAATGTCAACGTTTAAAACTCTTTATTTGAATGCAGATAACAAGATTGATGAGTTGACTACATAAATATAAATAAAGAATTTGACATAATGACTGTGTGGAGATGTGGTTACAGAGTGACCAACACTGGAACTCAATATTCAAAGATATTTAAAACTGTAGAAGAATAGGCAAAAAAAGAAAAGGGATTGGGATAGCTTTAACGGAGGACAATTAGTAAAGTGATGAGTAATGGTATAGGTGCAGAAGATCATGATGTGGAATCAGTTTGTGTGGAAATAAGGAATGGCAAAAGAAAGAAGTTACAAGTGAGAGTGGTCTATTGGCCCTGACAAGTTGTCTTACTATTGAACAAAGTATAAATTGTCAAACGATGGAGGCGTGTAAGAAGGGCTCTACAATTTAATGGAGGTGACTTGAATTTGCATATTGACTGGACAATTCAGGTGAGCAAGGGTGACATGGAAGACTAATTTCTAGAATGCATCAAGGATTGCCTCTTATTACAATATGTTGCACAACTTACTGGGACTAGGAGACTAGGAACCGAGGGCACAGCTTTAGAGTACAGGGAAGATCCTTTAGAACGGAGATGAGGAGAAACCTCTTCAGCCAGAGAGTGGTGAATCTATGGAATTCACTGCCACAGAAGGCTGTGGACACCAGGTCATTGAGTATATTTAAGGAAGAGATAGATACATTCTTGACTGTTAAGGGAATCAAAGGCTACGGGGAGAAGGCAGGAGCACGGGGTTGAGAAACTTATCAGCCATGATTGAATGGCGGCGCAGACTCGATGGACTGAATGGCCTAATTTCTGCTCCAAAGTCTTATGGTCTTTATGGTCTAAACTACCTGGAAACAGTTTGTTCAGTAATGTGTAATGAGGCAGGATTAATAGATCTCGTAGTTAAGGACCTTCTGTGCGTAGTGATCACAATATAGGAGAACTTCAAATTCAGTTTGAGGGAGAGCAATTAAAATGACATATCACAATGATGTTAGTCAGTGTTATCAATCATGATATGTCTTTTCTGTATTTCATTGACATACAAAGCAATTACAACAAATTTTGTGATGCAGATCAACTATGGATGACAATGCCATTCAACCCATCTTTATTCAATCCATAAAGACACTAAATCCTCTCATGTGGAGCCAATTATTTTCTTAAATAAGGTCAGAAGTGGGGACATAGGCTGACTTTGAATAACTTTCAGTATCATTATGATTTCTCAGATACTGAGCAGTCCATGCCTGCATGTAGACTAAAACAACATTGAGGTTTTGGCTGATGACATTCGTGGCATTCAAGTGACAAGTGATGACCATATGCAACAGGGAAAATGACAGAAACTTCCCTTGACATTTAACACTTACAATTCTTTTAGCTGTTATCCTTGATCAGAAACTGAAATGGCCCAATAATGTGAATACTGTCACCACATGACCAGGTCAGAGGCTTGAAAATTCTTTCTAGGGACTAATTCAGTCTTGTCTCACCAATGCCTGCCCATCATCTACAATGCACAAGTAAGGAATATGGTGGAATGCTGTCCATTGTTTGGATGAATGCAGCTTCAACAATATTCAAGAACATTGACAGCATCCAGAAGAGAGCAGTCCACTCAATCAAGACACCTTCATGATCATTAATTTCCACTACCACCATCACCACCTGAAGTGAGAGCAGTATGTGGCACCTACAAAATGCTCTAAATTAACTTGCACAAGTGTATTTCAAAAGCAACTTTCAAACCCACAACCTTTACTACCTAGAAGAACAAGGGCAGCAAATGCATGAGAACTATCATTCTGACTTGGAACTATATCATTGTTCCTTCACTGTCACTGAATCAAAATCCTGGAACTCGTTTCCCAACATCACTGTGAATGTATTTACACCACATGGCATGCAGTGGTTTGAAAAGCAGCTCACTACCACCTCTTCAAAGGCAACTAGCAATAGCAATAAAAATTGACTTTGCTCACATGCCATCAAAGAATTTAAAAAAATAGATTTTGATGTTTTTGCAGCTATTTGTCCTAAATTTGCCTTAATTATTTTTAACGTGCAGCTCCTTTATTCTTCCTCAAACTTGCTAAATTGATTCAAAAACAAAGTTGCTGGAAACTCTCAGCAGGTCTGGCACATCTGTGAAGGAAAAAACAGAGTTAACGTTTTGGGTCTGGTGACACTTCCTCAGAACTCAGTTTTTTCCTCCACAGATGCTGCCAGACCTGCTGAGCTTTTCCAGCAACTTTGTTTTCGTTCCTGATTTACAGCATCCGCAGTTCTTTTGGTTTTTTTTTCTAAATTGATTTTCTGGCTTGCCTTTTCCAATTCGATTTATAATCTTCATATGATAACCTTTTAAATAGGTTCTTTCTGCATTGTAAAGTCTTAGTATTTCTAAAACATGGGGTTAGCTTTTTGGCTTTCCTTTGCTTGAGCGATTATTTTTTAACGCTTTCTTTTAAATCTGCATCAGTGTTTTTATTTTTAGGTTCTCTCTTTTCTTCTTCGATAACCTTCTGAAAAATGTTTATGCATATTCTTGTATTAATCCTAATGGACCAATCCCTTTGCCCTTTCAGGATCTGAAGAAGTCAACTTTTATCTCTATTTCACATCATTCTTGTTTAGTATGAGCTTGATTACAACACTTAAAAAAAATCTTTGAAAACATTTGAACTCCTGTTTTGATGTCATCCTGCAATTCCTTTTATTGTCACATTATTTCTTTTCTCTGTAGGAAGACTGTATTAAGCCCAATTTATGGGTCTCCTGTTCAGAAGATGGAAGTTCTTCCATTCTCAAATGGGAAGGAAAATAAAATTGGTTATTTAGCCTACATCACAGATGATAAGGTACACATTCATCAACAAAATACCTGTGCCGAAAATTAATACAATGTAGTGATATAGTTCACAGTTTTCACAAATTTGTGAGAGAAACTATTTGTAATTTTTCTTTGTGTTTAACTATCTGTTTCCAAAACCAACTCTGCAATGACTTTATGATGTGGAAATGTGGTATGTACAATGTATTAAGAATCCCGTGCACATGAGGATGGTCTGGTCCAGAGGCTTAATTTTTTTTATGCTGAGTCTGCCATACTATTGAACTTAGTGTCTCTGCATTTAGCAAATAATTTCCTAGGATTTAGCTCCTTGTTGTTGTACGTTACTTCAACTGAAATTGTGTGCATAAGAATGTGAAGTGGTAATAGGGTTGTGTGTAATGGTGAAGGCTGTTTTGGTTGAATAATCTGCTAATCTCATGTATGAAGAATTATTTTTCCGATATAGAACACCAAAGAGAACACCACTGAGTTCTAAATTGCCAACATTCCCAGAGAAGGAGACTTGGGGTGGGGCATATAGAATGAGTGGCTAAAGTAACCGCAAGTGGCCATTTACATGTTTTTGCAGGAAATTCCACTGATCTGCAACCAAAATTAAGACAAGAGATTTGTTGGACACCATGAATGTTCACAGGCCAATATTTCTAACAGAATAAATTATATCTATTTATATTTGAAATGTGGGTTTGTTGCTATAAAGGACTGTTGCACAAATGTAATGCTCCGCTAACTGATGTAATGAGCATTTGTAATTCTGAATTCTAAAAGTCCTGCTCACTGTTACGTAGGTAGGTTTACAAACTCTACCACTGGATGGAAACCCCCACAAGTCCTGTGCAGTTATCTGCCATGGAAGAATGGTGTCCAATATTGCCTGTTCAAATGATGGTTCTTATATATTCACTGCAGGAGGAGATGATTGTACTGTGCATATGTGGAAAGTTGATCTGACGTAAGTACACTACTGATTTGCTTTCAAGGAACATTATTCTCAAAGGTAGCACTAAAGTGACTTGCATTTGTAATGCATGTTGTCGCGTAAAAATCTAGTTGCTTTTTCTGGAACTTCAAAAAGAATTCTTCTGTGGAATGTGGGCTTTCCTGACTTGGCCAGAATTTGTTGCCCCTAAATTGATTGGTTCTCTAGGCCGTTTCAGAGGGCAGTTAGATTCAACCAGGCTATGGACCTCGAGTCACATGTAGGCCAGATCAAGTAAAGATGGCAGATTTCCTTTCCTAAAGGACATTTGTGAATGAGGTGGATTTTTATGACAATTGACAATGGTTACATGGTCACCATTAGACTAGTTTTTAAATCCAGATTCATTGAATTCAGATATCACCAGTTGCCAGTGTAGGAGCCCATGTCCTCAGAGCATTAACCTGGGTCTTTGGATTGCTGGTTCGGTGGCATTGCCATCACCACCTTCCCTGATTTTGCTACTTGAACATCTTTGTGATATTATACATCTGGAAAAACTACTAAAACATTATCACTAGCTCCCAAAATTTATATAACACTTTACATAATTACCAGACTCCTCAAAACATTTTACAGCCAATGAAGTACTTTCTTCTTTAAAGTGTAGCTACTATTGTAATGTAGGAAACATTGCAGCCAATATTAGAAAATTATCACATGATCACCATTGTGATAATGGCCAGGTGACTTTTTAAAAATTTTTCTTGAGTAATAAATATTGGCCAGGCCAATTGGTAATACTTCCCATGCTCTTCTTTGAAATAGTGCCATGTGATCTTTTACACCCACTTCAGCAAGCACTTCAGGCCTCTTATAAATGTCTCATTTGAAAGACAGCGCCTTCGACAGAGCAGCTGTCCCTTGGTACTGCAATGGCAGGGCAGCTCAATATTATATTCAAACTCTGAGCTATGACTTGAACCTTGTGACTCAGAGGTAAAAGTGGTACCACCTGAACAATGGATTACTCTAGGTTCAATCCCAAATCTGCGCTGCAAGAGCTGACATTGTCATGAATGCAAAGTTGATACTATTGTTGATTGGGATAATCTCTGAGGTAAAATGGAAGAATGAAGGAATGGTCACGAGAGCTGCTCTGAATTCTACCAAACACAAGCCTGGTGGCTTGGTTGTTGTGGGGCCAAACTGAGGCTGACCTTCTTAAAAGGTGCAAGATGCTCACACCTGCAGACAATTGCAAGGTTTTACAAATGGTTATGCTTTAAATTGTTTGTAATAATATGGTAGAAACAAATTTGGGTCTAGAGATATCTAATTAGAATTACTATCTGGACTCAGAGCCCATGTAGTGCATATTGCCTTGCAGTTAGTTGAATTTAGGAGGGGAAAAGTCAATAGAAAGTGACAGCAGAAGCAGGCAGCCTGAGGCAGCATGGGGAGCAGGAACAAGCTGTAAGCCGATGAGGACAGGCAGCCTGAGGCAGCAGGGGGAGCAGGAACAGGCTGCAAGGTGGTGACACAGGCAGCCTGAGGCAGCAGCAGGAGCAGGAACAGGCTGCAAGGCGGTGAGAACAGGCAGCCTGAGGTAGCGAAGGGAGCAGGAACAGGCTGTAAGGTGATGAGAATAGGCAGCCTGAGGCAGTGGCAGGAGCAGGAACAAACTGTAAGGTGGTGAGAACAGGCAGCCTGAGGCAGCGGCAGGAGCAGG